TCCTTTGCAGCTGAATGAACCTGAAACTAATTATTAACGCGTATTTCAAAAATTTGTTTTTACAATTTTTTTCTGGAAAGCTGCTTAAAATACCGTGTATTTATACACAGCGCAAATAAAGTTGTCAGAATGCTTCGGCCAGTTTGTTACGGGTTTCCTTCAGGGTAATTAAGGTTGATTCCGGAAGTTGGTTTGCTCCCCATCTCCCAGTTGTTCAGGCTTTCTGACTCTAAATCTTAAAACGCTATAAACTACCTATTACCTTATCGCTTTCTAAATAATCTGGGATAAGATGAAGACTTGGTCAAATGGGTTTCGGTCTGATCTGAAACCACATTGAGCTTATATTTTAGTCAGCTGTTTTGCGGTACCTTCTTTCTGTCACCTCTGCGTCGATATTGGGAGGCTCAATAGGGTAATGTCCCAATAATTGAAGCACTCCTTTTGCTCTCCCTTAACCCGCTTCTCCAGTCTCCTGGTGTCTTCCCACTGGCAGCCACACTAGTTTCAAGTTTTGCAGACACGTGGTATCGACAACATGCGTGGTTCGCCTGCAGCTTGAAGCATTTCAGGGCGGATTTCATCGATTCCAACAGCCTTGCTACGTTACAAGCTTTCAGCAACTTCTGTGACTTCATCTGTTGGGAGGCTAACAGCCGTTGCTTTATATGCACTGCGGGAGCTTAAATGCCGTGGACCTCTGACCTCCTCAAATTGCCCCCTAGTTTACTAAAAGCAAGGGGCTGGGCATTGCTGCGATAGAGCCCGATGGAAAGGCTTAAATCACTGTTACACAATCACAGCATCGGTGTAAAAACAGAGGTTGCTAACTTGCCTTACACTGTAAATCCGTTATCAGTATATGAAGGGCATTATTTACCCGCGGGATTGGAACTCTACCGTTTGTGGTAGCCATCGCAAAACATCGATATGTCTTTTTCTATAGAATCGTAGTTGTGCACAGACGATACCCTGTCGTGCGTAGCAATGAAGTGTTTCCCTCTGCTTTTTTTGCTGCCCTCAACAATGCATCGGTATACCATATACAAAGTGACATCTCATTTAAGTATTTTATAAACTACAATACTCGACGTTTATCATCATAGTCATGATTTGCATATTGTTGAGCTATTTAGTCTCATATGGCTGTTTTGCGAAAGACTTGTTTGAATATCGGTATGCGTTGTTTATTGACTTGATCATTTTAGTGCTGGGAAATTCTTAACAGTTTATTGGCCTTTGGTGTTCCAGGCAGAACAAGACAAATTTATCATTTAATGGAGGCACAATGTGTTGGCGAATGTAACGCACCGACGAAGACAGTTGAAGAAGCAGAGAATTTGCGTCCAGAACTTGACGAATTCGTTGGAAACGTTGTCTGCACGTCCCCCAGCGAAAGTTTCCTGACAAATGCAGGTCGGCATTTGACCAAACGGCAGTACCGACTTTGTCAAATGGTAAATGCTGTGACGGACCTGGAATTTGGAAAGTCGTCTTCGGATGGTAATTTCGTTGCAGTTCCTGACGAAGGGTGTGTGACAGAAGTGTCGGTTTGCGACATGCAGGTTCAGGCGAGTGACATGTTTGTGGAACTTGGCGAGAACGCCGGAAGTGGGTTTCAAAGCTTCGTTCAGGAGCTGATAGTGCGAGCTGGCACGATCAGGACTCAAGTAAGGGCCTGTGTGGAACTGAGTTGCAACAAAAGCACACAGACGGATGGCGATGGTTTTTCCTCTAACGAAGGCGACGTCGATTTGCTTGTGGCCTGTTTCCCGACGATTTCACTCGAAGACTTGAAGCACGTGTACACTACTTGTGGCAACGACTTGCGGTGGACCGTTAATCTTCTTTTGGACTCTGGCTACGAATGCGGCGTTAGTACGCCTGATCATCTGCATGACATACAATCCGAAGACTGTGGCGCAAGCTTGGGTGGAATTAAGGAGGAAGGGGTAGCTACGAAAGAACCTCCAATTTCTATCGAAAGCGAGCAGTCGCCAAGCCGTGGTAACAACGTAGAAGCGACAACAGAAGAAAAATGTGTAAGTGAGCCTTCTGATGCTTTGAATAGATCCGAACCACCTACGGACCAGGAGAAATCCAGTGCTTCCAACGTGGAATCTTCTGGAGAAACTACAACCCTTATTCTTGAACTTAGTGCTGACATGGCTATGCAGCTGCAGGACCTGTTTGGTCCTCTGTTTGAGGGCGTGCCTTCGGGTAAGTGCAAATGCGTCGCGAAAGTGTCTTCAAAGTAGGTGCGTTTTCTTCAACAGTTGGTTTTCAGTTTTTCACATAGCGTTATTCTCTTATTGTCATCATAATATAGAATATCCTTCTTAGCATTTGCGCAAAAACGAGTTAAATACGATTATTTAACCTTGCCTTTCTGTTTGCTATGCTCTTTCTGATGGGTAAACGTATATATCAAAAATATATCCTTGTTAAAAGTACGGCACTCTCCTAAAATCGAATATTCTGAAATATGAAATATTAATTATAGGTGAAGAGAACACTCATAGATATGTCATGAGATGCTGTCAGAGAAATTCGTTATTTCAACTTTTGTACAGTTATTATTACCCACAGCTGAAAATACACATCCTGTCGTCTATCTGAAATTTTTTAGAAATTTTGCCGAACCAGAACTTCCATATCCCTCCACTATAGCAAAGTCACAGCATTCTAAATTTTCCAAGCTATGAACGGGGATGAGCGATCAGAAACATATGAAGCATTTTCTTCTTCATCTTTCTTTTTTCCTCTTTACATGCTTCCTCCTCTTCGTCTAATCGTTGTTCATCGTCATTATCCTTTCTTACTTCTTCCTTTGCTTCCCAGGTTCCATATCCTCTTCCTCTTTTTCTTCTTCATCTGCTTATGCCTTTTCTTTTTCGTCTTCTGCAGCATGTTCTTCTTTATCCTTTTTGCTTCCGCTTTTTTCTCCTCCCCTGATCCTACTCTTCTTCTTGTGCTTTTTTTCTTGTTTTTCGTTGACACCTTTCTCTTTTGTTCTTTCTTTTTATCTTTCTGTTTCGTTTCTTTGTTCTGTGCATTAATATTGTTGTTTACAGCTGTAGAAGGCATTTATTGAAGTTGAAGCACAACTGAGATACGACTATACAAACAAACGTGATGTCGTGGATGATATGAACTAAAATTGAAAATTTATTTGGCATATACACATGACAACATTGTTAATGTCTGTGTATGTGGAACCAGATCTCAGTTGGAATATCCATCCTTCTTCGGACAGCTAATGTAACTCACCGATACTTCAGCTTTTATTCATAAAGGCGGTACTGTTATAAACATCAGGATGCAAAGCGGCATATGTCACTTAACGGCTACTGTTTGCAACACAGCTACGAAAACGGACCTGCCTTAACTCTCGGAAGTCCA